AACTGCCCGGGAAGCGAAACAGGATCCCGAGAGCCCGACCCCAAGCCGAGCAGCTCCTGGCTTCCGCAGCCCCAGGGCCCCGGCGCGGGTGCTGGGCCCCGAGCACGCAGCAGGCTCCCGGCCCGCCCGCCACGGCACTCGCCACCTTCTAGGAAGAGCAGAAGCAAAACCACGCGCCCCAGGAATAAGACGCTCGGCAAGTTTCGCCGAGGAAATCTCTGAGGATGGCCGCTGCCTGGGCCGAGGGCAAAGTCATAGGAACCGAAACGCAACGCGACCGTGGTGCTCACGGGCCCGGGAGGCCTGGCAGCACGCTGACAGCAAGCACCTGTCGCCTCCTCTCCCGGAGGAGCCCCTGGGCTTGCTGGGACCTGCCCCTCCCCACGCTGGGCACGGGCCGGGGCTCTCGGCGAGTGGTGGCTGGGTGGCTGGCGTGGGGCCTGCCGCCCGCACTGAGCCTTTGCCAGGGAATGAGGGGGTTCGGGGGGGCCCTCTCCTGTCGGACTTGGCCTGAGAAACGGTGAGGCTGGGGTGGCCCTCATGGTGCCAAGACGGCTGCGGCAGCTCCGTCCCGCCACCATGACAAGGTGGCAGATGGCGTTGCGAGGTCTCGGACGCCGCTGTGTCTGAAGCCAGCGGGTCCGGGCCCTGGGTCCACCCGCAGCTGAAGGCAAAATCTCAGCGATGCGTACAAACAAAACGCCCTTGTGGATTTTCTGTCCCTGGAAAGCAAGCGTGCCAACGCACACGGCATCCGCTGCGAAGAACGTGATGCTTCCGTCTTAACGTTGAGGAACCGAGGTTCGGTGGGAGTCGGGGGTTGCGCCACAAGCCAGAGGGGAAGAGGCATCTCTGCGCCAGCCTGCACCACGTGCCACGTAGTGTGCCCGTCACACCGGCCTCGGGCTCACGGATGTCACCAAGGAGGCAGGACATCTCTGACGCTGCTGTGCACCTGACACAGTGGCGCCCAAGACCGCGCAGCACCATCTGTCTCCTCACCATGGTGGCAGGACGGAGCTGCCGCAGCCATCTTGGCACCATGAGGGCCGCTCCAGCCTCACCTCCTTTGGGGCCAAGTCCGGCGTGAGAGGGGGCCCCCGTATCCCCCCATTCCTGGGCAAAGGCTCAGTGCGGGCGGCAGGCCCCACGCCACCCAGTCACCACTGGCCGAGAGCCCGGACCCGTGCCCGGCGTGGGGAGGGGCAGGTCCCAGCAAGTCCAGGGGCCCCGGCTCCTCTTAAAACATGGAGCGCTAACAAGGAATCCACGTGTCACGCGGAGACCCGTGTTCAGGACTCTCGGTCTCTCTCCGGCGCCCAGAGCAGCGTCAGTGTCACCGGAGCAAGCGAACACCCCCCCAAGAGCTGCCGCTTGTCGCTCGCGAAACGCCGCGAGTTGGAAACAAGGGCGAGCTCGGCTGCCCGGCACGGCCTGAAAGCGACAAGTCGCCCGCGGCCCCCAGAGCTCCCTCACACGCGTGCCGTTCGTTCTCACGTGTCCCCGGGCGGCTCCCGAGAGCCGGGCAGGGCCGAGGACACGGCGTGCTGATCGCCCGGCCCTCGAGTTCAGCTGGACCGCGGGACGCTTCGGACGGCTCCTCTCAGAGCGCAAAGGCAGCGGGCGACACACAGCGAGCGGAGGGAGAGCCGGGCAGAGACGGCAGGGCGCTATAAGTAGCGCCACCACCGAGCCCTGCCCTCGAAGACGCCTCCCAGCCGGCAGGACGGAAAACAGAAAAAAAAAAAACGGCCGCCCGCAGGAGCCGACAGAACTGGCGGCGCCGGGTCCTCACGCAATCCGAGCGCCGGCCCCGCGGGGCTCACGTCGGGGCCGCTGCCCACGCGTGGGAGAGCGTGGCCTGTGTTCGGAAGCGGCTCCGAAACCCGAGCGGGGCACGGCCCCCGCAGGTGCCCACCCTGCCCCGGACGCCAGGGAGGGGGCCGTCGCCCGAAGGGTCAAAGGTCCAGCGGGCAGCAGCCGTGCCCAGGGAGGCGTCCACGGGGGGGGGGAGGAGACCGAGGGTCTCCGGCCACCAACGTCCCGGACACGGCAGGCGGAGCCACGCCCGCGCCACAGCCAGGCTGGGCAGGGCGAGGGCAGCTGCCGCTGCGGACGGGTGTCAGCTCCACGGAAGAGCGGGCGAGGCCATGGAGCCGCGTCAGGGCCGGGAGACTCTGGGACCACGGTCCCCGACCCTGCGGCGGGCAGGAGGCTGCTGACCACACCGAGTCACTGAGACCACAGCAGACGGGGGCGGGGGCCACCCGGAACCAGCGCAGACACCGTCTGTGACCTGCGCCGCCCGGCCGTCCATGCTCGGTGACCGAGGCCGGCACCCCCGAGGGAGGCGCTGGACGCCCGTCAAAGCATCAGTCACCGCCGGGCGCGGGGGCTCACGCCTGTCGTCCCAGCACTCTGGGAGGCCGAGGCGGGAAGATTGCTCGAGGTCAGGAGTTGGAGACCAGCCTGAGCAAGAGCAGGACCCCGTCTCTACCCAAAATAGAAAAAATTAGCCGAGCATGGTGGCAAGACCCCGTCTCTACTAAAAATAGAAATTAATTGGCCAACTCAAGATATACATTAAAAACTTAGCCGGGCATGGTGGTGCATGCCTGTAGTCCCAGCTACTCGGGAGGCTGAGGCAGGAGGATCGCATGAGCCCAGGAGTTTGAGGTTGCTGTGAGCGAGGCTGACACCACGGCACTTTAGCTTGGGCAACAAAGTGACACTCTGTCTTGGGAAAAAAAATCAGTAACGCGTCACATGGCGAGTCCAGCGTCTCTCAGCGTCACGCGTTTCGGTCCAGCCGTGACAGGGGCAGGTCTCAGGCGGCTCTTAAACGTGGGGACCCTCTCGCTCACACCGCTGGCCGCCCGAGAGAGCCCCCGCGCCAGTCGAGGATGCCCTCACCTGCACGAGGACCCGGAAGTCTGAAGGGATGGCGAGGGGACTGCAGGGTCCCCGTCTCCCTGACGCCCCAGGGGGCTCCGGGACGGCGAGCGTGGCAGGTGCCCCGTGTGGCAGGGAAGACCCACTCGGGCTCATTCCGTGCGCGGCCGGACAGAGAACAGTGTGGATCCGGGAAGCACGGGGGCGCGGAGGGATCCGCCCAGGACCCCAGCGTCCAGCCGGGAGTGGCCGGAGGGGTCCCCCGGGGACCGTGCGATGACAGCATCCCTCCGGGACTCGGCTCCTCCAGCCAGATCCTGCAGCCCTCGGGGACCCCAGCGGCACGGGTGACAGTGGACCCGGCCAACAGACAAACGAGGAAAAAAAAGCTTGCACAAAAGGAAAGCTGCCACCTGCAGAGCCCGGGGAACGGGCGGGCGGGCAGGCGCGGTGAGAGCAGAGGGTCTCCACCCGGCGTGGCGTCTGGGGCCGCCCGCGTGGTGGCCGCGTTACGCGGAGCTCGGCTGGCTTCACGTCTAAGGCTGGGAGCCGCCACACTCGGGCGCCGAAACCCGGGGACGAGCTCAGGGGCCGAGACGGCGAGTGTAGACGGAGCCGGGGCTGGCCGGGGACCGAGCGTTGGGGTCACCCACCGCCTCTGGCGTGTGGGGCGTCTGTGTGTGGGAAGAAAGCCACAGCGACGCCCTCCACTGGGGCCGTCTGGGTCTGCCGCGGGGCTGCACACGCAATGCGCGCGGCCATCGCCCGGGGCGGCGTGGGTTCAGCCCGGCTCCCCACCCCCTCCCACGCAGCGTGGCCGCAGACGACGACAGTAACGACAGCCCGTGTGCTCGTGTGCCCGCGCTTCCTTCCCGCAGGGCGCGGTGCAGGACGGGCCGGAGCGCCAGCACCCGTGAGCGTTTCCAGGGTGGACTGCCGCACGCCACTCGCCCAAAGCTGAGGCCGTTCACGCCTCCGCGGGCCACCCGAGCGCGTGCCCCTTTCCCCACAGCCTCGCCGGCATCGGGCGTTGGAGCTTTCTGCTTGTTTTCCCGTCATGAACACGAGACACTTCAGAAACCCAGAGCACACGGGGAAGCAAACGCGCCCCAACCTGCGTGCCAGGAGGGCGGGACAGGCCCCGCCGCCCTCGGGCTCCCAGGCCCGCCCCGCCCGCCCGCCCGCAGGCCCCGCGCTCACCTTCTGCAGAAGGTCGATCTCCTGCTGCTTGGCGCTGAGGACCGCCAGGGCCTGCTCAT